GCCTAAGGAATTGGCACTAGTTCTATTTTCTACCACAGTTTATACAATAGGCACTACGTCACATAGTCACCAGGGTTCATACAATAGGCACGAAGTCACATCGTCACCAAGGTTTATCAAATAGGCACGAAGTCGCATCGTCACCAAAGCTTTACTTAATAGGCACGAAGTCACATCGTCACCAAGGCTTACTCAATAGGCACGAAGTCGCATCGTCACCAAAGCTTTACTTAATAGGCACGAAGTCACATCGTCACTAAGGCTTACTCAATAGGCACGGAGTCACATCGTCACCAACTATTCCATCTACCCATGTTATACCCAACATTTTTGTAGATATAAATACAAGCACAATTTAAATCATTTAACACCCGTATAAAAACATCAATTCCAAGCCCATCTCAAATAGACAAATAATATATAACACATAGCTCGTATTTCATAGCTAATACTTTATATTTATGTGTCATAAGAAAGTAACTATACACTCACTTGATCAGAAGATGATCGGACAGCACTACGGCTGTAAAAGTAGTATTCTTTGGTAGATCTGGAAGATCTTCACAAAAACCGGGCTCCTCGAGGGCAGAGCTTCGGCTCGGGAATTTCACTTCTCGGGATCTTCGGGGCCTCGGGACTTGCTTTGGTGCTCGGGAATGATACCGGAGCTTTGGGATAATTCTTGCACGAAAAACGATGCAAAAACGCGAGAGAAAGAAGAGAAATGAGCAAATGAATCGGCTGCACTCGACTCCCTTTTATACGGTCTGGATTTGCGATTTACGCTGGGCGTAATCTTACATTACACTGGGCATAATGTGGATCAGCTCACTGACTCCCCCCTTGGATAATATCGAAAATTTATATGTAAATTTAATATCAAAAATATTTAATAAACTTCAAAAATTCATATCTTCTTCATACGAACTCCGTTTTCGACGTTCTGTATATCCCCGTGTAGGTGAGACTACGCTCTACAACTTTCGTTTAGACTCCGTCAGCTAATTTTGAATTTATTTTTATTATTTATTTTTAATAGGCCGGGACAGGAAAACTCTGTTATAAATTCATAACTTCTTCATCTGACGTCCATTTTTGCCTATCTTTTTATCGTTTCATTACAATTAACGAGATCTTCGATTCTTGTTTAGATTGTTTTGGCTAAAAACCGCTCAGTCTCAAATCGAGTATTCGGGCTGCATACTACTAAGTCGAAACTTAAATAAAATCATAACTTCCTCATACGAAGTCAGATTTGGACATTCGTTTTATGCACGCTCATGGTTTAACGTATTCTACAACTTTCATTTAGATTTCTAAGGCTAAATATCGCTCTAACGTAAATTCACTTTTTACGTCGCGTTGTGTCGTGCCGGTTCTGTCACGAAACTTCGACAGGCCATAACTTCTTCGTTATAACTCAGATTTTGGCGTTCTTTATATGTATGGAATCCTTGTAACATATACTAAAACTTAGTTAAGATTATTCATTATAAATAATATTTTATCAAAAAGTCATTTTTGACGCTTATCGTCTCTAAATTGACTAGCCCTGATCTACGGGCGTTACATATACTTTGTATGTCTCATCTCAATTAGCTCTCATATACTCTATGTATGTCTCATCTCAAGCTCAATCTCGTATACTCTTTATAACTGATGTTATACTTAATCTCATGCACTCTGTATGTGTCATCTCAACTAGGTCTCATATACTCTATGTATGTCTCATCTCATGCTCGATCTCGTATACTCTATATAACTCATCTTACACTCAATCTCATATATACTGTTTATGTATCATCTCAATTAGGTCTCATATATTATATGTATGTCTCATCTCATACACAATCTAGTATACTCTATATAACTCATCTTAACTTGTATAAAATCTGAATTCCCATAGGAAGTATACTTATTTTGTAATCTCATTCTCAAAAGGAACATACTCATATCTCAACCTCATACTCAAAGGAAATATAAGCCTAACTCAATCTCATTTCCTGAAGGAAATATACTTAAAACTCGATCTCATTCCCGAAGGAATATCAATCTCATTTCCCTAAGGAATTATACTCATAACTCGATCTCATTCCCAAAAGAATATCAATTTCATTTCCTGAAGGAAATATACTCATAACTTGATCTCGTTCCTGAACGAATATCAATCTCATTTCTCGGAGGAAATATACTCATAACTTGATTTCATTCCTGAAGGAATATCAATCATATTTCTTGAAGGAAATATACTCATAACTTAATCTCGTTCCCGAAGGAATATCAATCTCATTTTTTCGAAGGAAATATGCTCATAACTTGATCTCTTTCCCAAAGGAATATCAATCTCGTTTCCAGAAGGAAATATACTCATTACATGCTCTGCTACATGTCTTTATGTAGATCTTATACATATACTCAACTCATATACATACATGCGCATTTACATGTTTTCTACGTGTACTTATGATCTATTTTTTGTCTCATAACTTGATGGCATTTACTTAGTGACTCAAGGTTCTCATACATACATGTAAAAATATATAATTTAAACATATAACAATCATAAAGAAAGAAGGAGAGTGATAACTCTTCTACTATAGAGGGTTTGGGGTGTGAGATCTAACTCGAATGAAGGTTTAACAACCTTTAGTCTGATCGAAACATCACGTTGCAACGAGTTTGTCTCCAAATCGGGGTGCAACAAATGAACTTATAGTTAGCCTCTAACTGAGCCGTTGTAACTTCCCACAACAATATCCTACTTTTTGCCACTGTGTCGGGGCACCAATATATCGTACTGTGGGGCAAAGTACATCGCCATTTTCTTACGATAAGTACGTAACCCATTCTCCGTCACCCTCATTGCCCCACAATCACTGCTTGACAACACTTCCTTAGTTGATTCCATTCCAGATTTTGGGACAATTTTTATCCCAACTTCTAACATGTATAATTTCTTTGTTTCTAACATTTTTTCTATAATGTTTATATCAACACGAAGGTAGGAACATACTCTACAATTATTTTAATTCATTTTCACCGACTTAATACGAGCCTTAATCTATTATGTCACTAACTTAGCCTAGAAACATAAAAATATTGTGACACCCCATTCTCCATATAATTAATTACTAAAAGAATGTTGGTATAAATGAAAATAAATAAATAAGATTAATAATAATTATTATTAATAATAAAATAATTAAGGAATGAATATTTGAGGAAAATTTAGGTGTTGTTTGTTTTATCAAAGCAAAAATGTCTGAAGTTTGTGGACCACCTCTACAACCCTCTGTAGCAGAACAAATGAATCAAATGGCTACAACATGTAATAAAAAGTTTGTTTGTTTTTTAACGTCTGCAGACTGCTGCAATAAGTTAAAGTAAGATGTGAAGTTGTTTGAAGCAGATAGTCTAGTGTTGCGCCACACAGCACATGCACAACAATTTTTAAGTTAGAAATCGTCTGAAAAACAAACAACTGTGAATGGTCAAATGCTGTGCGGCACAACATTAAATGATCAGAAGTAGTTTAAAAAAAAAAAAAAAACAAACAAACAAACAAACAAACATCACCTAATAAAACTTGGGCTAAAAGGGTTAAGTTTAGAAACCTTCGATTGTAAATATTTTTGTTTACAAACGACATCAATTCAAAGTTTCTCCATAAAAGCTATTAAATATCATTTTTAATTTCAGGCTTTTACTGGATCTCAATAAGTACAAGATAAATAAAAAAGTGGTTGAAAGTTGAAACAATCTATTTGTTTAATTTAAATAGTTAAAAACATCTAGTATGGTGTTTGTTAATACGGTCCATGTTTCCTAAAAAATGGTCTATAAAAACATTACATAGTGAAATCCAAATTCGTGTTGATATGGTATGAATGTTTAATGCCCAAAAAACGGTCAATAAATAAATAGAGTTGGTATAAAATTTTCATTTTAAGACTTAGAATACTAGTATTATTTTTATAAAGTTACATCAATATTAAATATGTTTTGGAAAAAAGATATAATCAAAAATTTTAATTTTAAATTTTGTAAATATGAAACTGACATTTTTATATTTTAGTTCTATAAAAAAAAATTAATTTTATGATTTTATATAAAATAGATATCCTAATATAAAACCAAAATGGCGGGTTCTATTTACAAACTTTCAAAAGGTTTATGAATTTTGATATACTAAGTGTGAGACCGTATTTACACGAGTTTATAAAAAAAGTTTAATATAAAATTATAACCATTACATAGTTTTTAAAATAATAATTTTATATAAATACAAAGAATATAATAAATAAAGTAAGTAGTAAAAGTTGTAGAGTATTTATTATGAAATTTAATAGAATCATCTACTTTAAATACATAAATCTTATTAAAATATGAATTTTAAATTTAAAAAATTGAAAATTTTAAGAAAATGACAAGTAGAAAAGAAATAATTCAAAAACTCTTAGAAAATGATATGTATCAAATTCAATGAGAACATGATATTTTTGACACATGTCATTTGGCAAAATTGATTTTTATTTATTAGGTTAGATGTTTATAAAAACAGTATGAGTTTACGTTTTTTGTGCCATGATAAATAACGATTTGGTAACACTATGGTCTCTAATGGAGGATGTTATAATATCCAAGTAATTATGTCGAACATGACAAAGTTGAGAAGGTCATACACTTATACGCGCACAACAAAATCATATTACTTACTAGTCCTTTTTCTAAAAATCATTTTGAAAAATGTTAGAGAAATATTAACCACTACATAATTTTTAATCATTCATGTTCTATTGCAAGTCCTTTTAACGAAAAAAATTCATACAAATTGAAAAACACATAAACATCACAATTATGCATCATCCTGTTAAACCTTCAAACTTGTTACCTAAAATTTTATTGAGCATAAATAAATGAAAGAGCATTAAATTCATTATTTATTTATTTAAATATCAGTTGAATAATTAGATTATAAAAACAAAGATGTTACATGCCTTTCAAGCCCAAGGCTTCTCAAAATGCCAACTTCCTGAAGGAAATGGGTCGTTAAACCTACCCATATAAAATCCTTCTGGTCTTATCAACCAATAACAATGTTGAGTACCAAATTTTCCTTTGTCACACATCTTCCAAGTATTAGCATCAAATACATTCAAATTTTGATATTTTGAACCCCACCAAATTTCACTCCAAAACAGCGTACGACCTGTATCACAAAATGACCAATCGTAACTTCCATTATAAGGAAGGGTGTGATTTCCGAGATCGTCATCTTTCGATCTCAAATGAAGGGCAACATTTTCGTTGATGCCATTGACTATGAACATATGCCATCTTGTAAGTATAATACAAGGACTATCTATAGACATTGCATATGTATAACCATTCGAAAATGACATTGATGTGGTGATTAAAAGAAGAAAGACAAAAAAGGTACACATTATAATATTTTAAATCAACTTAAAAACATATCTAATTTTTCAAGTATTGGTAAATAGTTCTATTCCCAATTTATAAAGGGGCCTCATTATTTTCTGTTGATTTTTATATTCTTGTAATATATATATATATATATATATATATATATATATATATATATATATATATATATATATATATATATATATAATTTTTCAAATATTGGTAAGTAGTTCTATTCCCAATTTATAAGGGGGCGTTATTATTTTCTGTTGATTTTATATTCTTGTGTGTATATATATATATATATATATATATATATATATATATATATATATATATATATATATATATATATATATATATATATATATATATATATATAATATTTTTAAAATGCAAAATAATTGAAAATTTTCGATTTTTTTAAATATTATTCTCATCATTTCTTTTATCCAAAAAAATAAAAAAATAATAAAAAAATTACAATTTTTTGAAATATCTTTAAAATATTGTATTAGAATATTAGAATATATTTTACATATCTAACAAATTTAGTAGAATACTAGATATTCTAACATTTTAAAAATCACAATAAAATATTTATAGTGTAATATTCTATTAGAATATTTCACCTATTTTTCAAAAATAAATTATAATATTTATTTATTTATTTATTTATTATTTTTTTTTAAATTTTTTTAGGTAAATAAAATGAGGAAAAATAATAATTAAACATATTTTTTGTATTTTTTTATTTTATTTTTTGTTTTAAAATTATTTTCAGATTACATCTCACGGTCTTACAAAATTAACATGGTCTCAAATGAATCTATATATATATATATATATATATATATATATATATATATATATATATATATATATATATATATATATATATGACAAAACTACAAATTTAGTCCTTGTGGTTTGCAAAAATCTTTGGATGGGATCCAAAAAGTTTCCAGCTTGCACAGAAGGTCCAAAATTAAGGTTTTTCTGGGTTTTTGGTCATAAACTTAAGAAATTCTTGTAGTTTTGGTCCGTGCAGCACTTGAATTGACTGTTTTGCCCTTTAAATTTATTTTTTTTATTTTTTATATTTTATTTTATAAATATTAATGCAAAAAAGGAATTAGGTTGGTTTACCGCATCTCTCTCTCTCTCTCTCCCCACCCCATTGGAGCCCTCCCCCATTCTCTTGCTTCTTCTTCTTCCTCCTCCTCATCTCTCTATCTCTTTCTCTTCCTTTCTCTCTCTCTCTCTCTTAAAATAAAACGCCATGGTTGGACTTGTGTGCTTCTTTCTTGCTTGAAAATAAAAATAAATCCACATAAACCAAGCACATACACATACATTCCAGATTACCAATCGTTTCTGTCTAAAAGCTCTTATTAAAAAACCTAGATATGTGAAAAAAAAATGAGCTTGTGTTCCATCTAGGTTTTGTTTTGAGGTTGTGAAAAATTCCAACTAAACACAATCATCAACAACACCAAATTCCCCCAATTGATGAGTTGATGATGAGATGATGAACTGGTAACACAGGCGTCGATGATGAGATGATGAACTAGAATATGAGGAATGCACACTATTTCCCCCATCCCTTCTTCTTCTTCTTCTTCTTCTTCTTCTTCTTCTCACCAGCACGCACCGTTGTTGAGTTCCAACTGTCAAAGTTTTCATTTGCTCCATTAGTGTCGTCATCATCATTACTACTTCTTTGAATCAGAACCCTAACATTTGGTTCAACACAAACATGTGTAAGGGATTCCATATATGTTGTTCATCATCGGACATCCACCATCAAAGAAATTAGGGCTCTTAAGAAGTAAGGGTTGATAAACAACATAAATTGAAGCATATTTCCACAAATAATCGAAGATCTGACATCTGGGTTCAATACACATAGTGAAAAACTAAAACACACACACACACACACTCGAGAAAGAAAAAAATGATGTAAACTCGATTGAAGAAAAATTAACTTGTGTATGTTTTCTTTCTGATTTGCAGGTCATGTTTATGATTGTGGTGGTTGACGGTGGGAATTGTGATGTGAAGAGTGTTTGCTTATTGTGAACTGTAACAATATGAGGTTTCAGGTGTTGTGTCCATAGAGAGAATATGGTGAGAAGATGATGGGACTGTGGGAAGAATCGATGGAGTAATTGGGTTTTTGGTTATGGGATGAGAGAGAGAGAGAGAGAGAGAGAGAGAGAAAGAGAGAGAGTGTGTGTGGTCTCTCTTTTTTGTTTTTTATTTTTATTTCATAAAGTATTCTAATAAATACAAAAAGAAAATATAAAATTGAAATTAAAAGGGTAAATCAGTAATTTCAAATCTTTTTGGACCAAAAACCCAGAAAAACCTTGATTTTGGACCTTCAGTGCAAACTGAAAACTTTTTGGACCCCATCCAAAGATTTTTGCAAACCACAAGGACCAAATTTGTAGTTTTGTCACATATATATATATATAGACACACACACACACACACACACACTAGGCGAATACACGCATGTTGCGTAGAAATTATATTTGAAATCTTTACAAATATATATATTTTAAATATATCAATGATGTTGTTGTTAGCTTATATATAATAGATCTTTTAATAAGTTTGTATAAATATTGTTTGTTTTCAATTATATGATACTGTATACATATTTTAAAATTCTATAGTTCCAATTGTCTGAATGACCTCTACCTACGGGTTACTCTTAAATAAAATTAAACATATTATATGGTTTAATGTTATTTGTAGTTGTTATTATCATTAGTTAATTTTAAAAGATTTATTTGCTTAATATTTTAATATCTACAATTGTAATTATTTAAAACATCAAACATTTTGTTTTTTGGTTTTAAAGGTAACAAAATAATTTTTGTATATATTGTTACTTTTAACTATTGTTTTTGTAAGTTATTTAAAATAACATATTTAGAAACTCTTAATTATTTTAATTTGGTTTCAGAAATTTAACTTTTATAAAATTTATTTGATGAATATTATTAGTTTATTTGATTAAAATTATTTAAAATAACAAATATTTTTGTGTGTATTTAAAGATAACATTATATTTTTTTTTATATAATATTACTTTTATCTGTTCTTATTTTAAGTTATTTTTAAGTTACTTATTTGAAATTTCTTAATGATTATAAAAAATTGTTTCATGTTTTTTTTGTTAATTTAGAATTACAATTTAGGTTTAAGACTATAACTTATAACTTTTAACTATTTATAAAATCGTCCGTCGATTTTTTTCAAGTTTATCTGAAATTTTAATTTGAGTTAACCGTTTAACATTATATTAAAATTAATAATGTAACTATTTTGGATAAAATCATAAATTATTCAAAAGTTGTGATACTAAAATGACAATTGTTCATATACGACAAAATATCTAAACAAATAAGTTAACTATAAAATGTTAAAAAGTTAGTGTCATAATTTTATAAATATATGTCAAATGAATATAGTAGTTTAATTCTTTTATTATTAGAATTTAGTTTTTTGAATTAATTTAACATTATTAACCAATTTATAATAATTGTTAGAAAGAAATTGAAAAGTCAAGGAGGTTTCAAATGCATGTGGTGCATGTAAAAATGTCTATTTTATAAGTATACTAGGCAAATATTCGCACATTTCACGGAATACAATAATATATTCGAAATCTTTACAGATATATGTTTTTTAAATATATCAATGACGTTGTTGTTAGCTATTATATAATAAGTCTTATAATAAGTTGGTGTAAACATTGTTTGTTTTGAATTACATAATAACTTAAACATCTTTTTAAAATTTATAATCTCAGTTGTCTTGATGGCCTCTACGTGCAAGTTATTCATGAATTAAATTAAATATAATATATTGTTTAATAATATTTATATTTTTTTGTTTTGATTAATAAATTTTAAAAAATTTATTTGCTTAAGATTTTAATTATTATCACTGTAATTATTTATAACATCAAACATTATTTTTTAAAGGTAAGAGCATAATTTTTGTATATAATGTTATATTTAACTATTGTTGTTGTAAGTTATTTAAAACAACATATTTGGAAACTCTTAACTATTTTAATTTGGTCTAAAAAATTTAACCTTTTTAAAATTAATTTGATGAATATTGTTAGTTTCTTTGATTGTAATTATTTAGAACAACAAACATTGTTTTTATTTTTACAGACAACATTATAATTTTTCATATAATATTACTTTTAACTATTCTTATTGTAAGTTATTTTTAAGTTACTTATTTGAAAATTTTTAATGATTATAAAAAAATAGTTTCCTGGTTTTTTTGTTAATTTTGGAATGAAATTTAAGTTTAACGCTATAATTTATAACTTTTAATTATCTATAAAATAGTCTCTTGATTTTTTTTCAAGTTTTAACTGAAATTTTGATTTAAGTTAATCGTATAATATTATATTGAAATAAATAATTTAACTATTTTGCATAAAATCATAAATTATACAAAAATTGTGACTTTAAAATGACAATTGCTCACATAAGACAACATATTTAAACTAATAAGTTAATTTTAATATTTTAAAAAGTTAAAGTTATATTTTTATAAATTGAAGTAAAATATGATATTTTAATATTACACTTTAGTTAATTTAGGATTAGAATATAGTTTTTATATTAATTTAACATTATTAACCAATTTATAATAACTATTATAAAGAAATTGAAAAATCATGTAGGTTTTAAATGCATGTGGTTCAATTAAATATGCTAACTTCTTTTATAAGTATAGTAGGCGAATACCCGCACATTGCGCAGAAACACTTATATAGTTGAAGTCTTTACAAATATATGTTTTTTTAATATAACAATAACGTTGTTAAATTTAATATAATAACTTGTATATACTAAATTGATATACTATATTGATTATTTTGAATTATATGATAATATATACATTTATTATAACTTTAAAATCTCAATTGTTTAATTGA